AGTCACAGTTTGACACAGGCATGTCATTTATATGTCATATATTCTTTAAGGTTAGCTGGCTTAATTATAGTATCTTTGATTCCAGAGGTTTCAAACTGGCTGCTGACTATTCAAAAGGACTACAGGGGTTAGTCTTTCAAAGACAGCCAATCACTTCTCTATATTGATGAGTTACTGTTCTGACTTCAGTAGGACTACTCACATTAGTAAGAACTCTATGGAGTAGTAAGTGTTAGCAGGATACCAACCTAAATGGGGTAACGGTAAAGCACCTTAGAGATTTCCCATTGTCCCAAAGTGCTTTGGTTAAAACGCAGCCTAAGAATGAGCATAGCATATGAAACCTTACCACAAAAGCATGCATGACTTTTTAAGCGCTGAAGTAATTTCTCCCAGATTTGGACTGCTTTGTTACTAAAGGCACCATGCCTGTTGCGTTTGAAGATTCCTACTTCAGTATTTATGTTCATTTGTTCAACCCACTAGTTAATAAACTAAGGTGCTCCAGGATTAGAAATATGACTTAAGGTAGAGGGCCAAGGCCCTCTGGCTTGACTTGTAACTGAGCCATATCCCTTGAGAACTCTACCTAGAAGGAAAGAGGTCCAACACTGCTATTGAACACACATTTATGCAAGTGTCAGAATGTCATGATCTGTGATGGTACGTGAATGTATCCATAACATCCCAGCAAATTTAAGATGACCATTTTTTAAACCAATAAAAGATTAAATTGGGTTTATTCTTACAGAAAGATTTGGGGTTGGGTTGAAACTATTCATATTACTTTTCCATAAATTTTTGGGGATCCCAGAAGTGGAACTGGAAAGGAAACAGGCTGCTAACCTGAACAGTGTATATAACATACAGACTCTAATTAGTCTAAAATCTGAGACAATTGTCTAGTCATCACTATTACTAAATTCAAATCCTCAACATCACCTAATTTCGACTGTCACCTAGTTGTAACAATTAAGAGACTTATCCATGCTGGGTAAAAATATTTTTAAAAAGGATTTTTCTAAATAACCCTAGGAAAATAACCATAGGAAATACTAGTATTTTTTCTGACCTTCAGGTGAAAGGTGCTTTTTAAGTGTATTTTCAGAACTGTTCCCCCAATCATACAAGTATGTAAATGTATGAGAACTTACTTGTCCCTGTCCAGCATGACAGGATATTCAAACTTCTTTTTTTTTCCATATGCTTGCTTTCCTCTATAATTACAGTAGGAAAGTTAATAACATCACAAGGCAAAATCAACCAATTGATATCTGATAATTCAAACTTCCTGGGTTGTCCAAAGTAACCAAGATCGTATCCGTTCATGGCATGCCAGAGACTACAGACATAGTAGAAGCAGTGCCAAAGGACAGAAAGGAAAAACAGGTACTTTTAGAAGTGGAACCAAAGTGAGAATGTATCTGCATTATCCAGTTCTGCAGCACTGTTCTAGAGTTTAGTATGCTAGTCGTGAAAAAAAATAAAAATCAGTGAGACTGAAGTTCACTGTTTATAATGTAAGTAACTTGGGAGTAAAAAATCTCAGAAGGATGTTGTAAAAATCGAAACAAAAAACCAGTTCATCTTCATAATTACGAAACTGAGGAGTAAAGGCAACAATATCCTGAGCTGCCCCTACAGTAAGGTGCTGCCACCAGAGCAGGATCTACACCAAATTTCCTCATTGATTGTCCCCCCAAAAAACCAAAAGAAACTCCTTCAAATGTACTTGTTAGCCAGGAAGGAATTACAGTTGTCTGTAAAGCATCTTCAGACTGCAATGGTTTAATTGCATAAGGATTGGTTAGAGGCAATGCTTACGACCCATGTCAGTTTAACAAAAGCTAAAATAGGATTAGAACAGGAGGTCATTTATAAAATGTTGGGGGCATTACCTATGCATTCAAGGTCACCTTGCTGAAAGAAAATGACAGTCTGCAAAAGGCCTGACCTCCTGAGAAAACTGGAAGTGTTACATGGAAAAATCAGTTCTTTCAGGTGCAGAACAGTAAATGCAGCCAATGTTGTATTTTATTTAGGTTCTACCCTATATACAAGTCCAGCAAAAGCAGGAACTTTGGAGACAGTTCAACTGATTTGCCATAGCAGTAAGATGTATTAGTCATTTTTGTACCTGACTGAACCATCACTAGATGCTGTCACTACCATGTTTTTCTCCTCTTCATGAAATGTCAATCACTTCAGTAGAGTGTGCCCTCCAGCAGAGCTCCTCCTTTATTTGCTGAAGGAAAAAAGCAACATAACCACATTTCAGGCAGTTCTGTATGCCACCATGGTTGCTAGCTTAGTGGATTTATCAGCATGGCTTTCTTGATTGAAAGAGGTGAAAATGCCTGGAAATGGCATATGGTAGAAACACCACTCAGGGGACATGGATAAATTAATTCTTAATGTAGCCTCTTCGAACACAATGGAATAAGGCTAACAGCATTTTACTTATGTTTTTCTTGTTTTTTTCACAGCATCAAGTTATTATTTCAAGCAAAACACATGACCTTTATGTGCATGAAACATTTTTAGTCCATGTCTGAATCCATTTTTCTCTGTTTGTCTTATCTGGGTATACTGTTCAAGTTAAGAAAATCTGTGAGATTTTTATCTTACATTTTTGCTATTTTGTGGATCTTCTAAGAATGAGGCAATGCTCCAATGCATAATATGTCCCTCTGTTTAAGAAAGGAAAAAGGAAAACATCAACAAATTTCATTAGTGCTACACATTCAGTCATTGCTACCATATGCTGTTGTTAAACACTGGGCAGAATAAAAGAGAGATTACAGGTCAATGAAAGTTATTTTAAGATGAATGTCACTATCTCATTGTCAAGCACAGAGTAGAAAATAATGGACTATTCATTAATATGCAAAGAAATCTATATACTCTTTGTCAACAATGTGTCATTAACTGTATAGGTTTGAAATGGAAAGAACGTAAAGTTTTTTCTTTAAATGACATGAGTAAAAAGTAAGAGTCATCTTGTCAAGACAGTTCTTTATTGCACAAACTAGGTATGAGAGCTTCCTGGGGATTAAACTGTTTTTCAATCCTGGTAAAATGGACACAGTTTGATTAATCGCATACATAATGAAAGCTTAATGTTTTACAACCTTTTAGTGCACTCATGTGAAGCTAGAATCAAAGAATCATTTTCCTTATGACCCACAACTGCTTAGTTTCCTGCCTAGGCTCCTTCTTTCCCGATGAAGTCACCTCTTATCTCTCATTTCTACTACTAGAGAGAGGAATCTTTTGTGTAATTCCAACTTTCATACTGGTCGCATCTCGTTTCTAGGACTCCATATTTGCAAGCAAACAAGCAGGCTGACAGAGAAGTTGACCTTTTCCTAACAAGGAAGAATCTGTAACAGGAACAAGAAATTGCTAGTAGCACTCCAGATAAAAGAGAAGGGTGTGGAAAGCATGAAAAGCAAATACACAGTAGCACAAACACAAAAAGACAAAGGGAGAGTATCAGATAAATAGATAATAGGGTGGATACTTTTCCACAACTAATTAAAATCCTGTTCACTGCATGCTGCCTTCCCAAACTCATTTACTGATTTGAATCAATGGGGAGTGGAAACTCCTCTTAATTTTCAGGATCAATGTCAAGCTACTGCTCAGTTTTGAAACAAATAGAAAAAAAAAAAAACAACTTGCTCCATCCACCTTTTGACAGCATAAGAGCAGGAAGCTGGCAGGAAACAGTTCTAATAGGTATTTTGGAAGAAAAGTGCCACATAAAGGACAAAAATCTAATATGACAGATGCAGAAGAGCAAAATTGCCAGGGTGATTGTAAAGGTTTGGAGGAGAATTACCACAGCAGATAAACTCTTGGACTTTCTGCCAAATGAAAGCCAGATTTGGTGTGAAATCAAAAGTCTAACAATGAACTGCTAGCACAGACCACAAGTGCTTTCTGTCCTTATATAGGAGCGTACTGCTGAAGCCATTACAGTGCACTCCGTATCAGTGTCTGAATCATGGCTCCTGGTACAACCACAGCTGCAGGTTTTTATTTAGTTTTATTACCATGGATGTGAAATTTTTGCTTGTTCTTAGCAGTAGTCTTTGCCCTTGGTATTAATACAGTAATTCAGATGGAAAGTATATGCAGGGTTTGTGAATGAAGAAAATTATAATGTCTTTTATGAAAACAATTTTACTGATAATGCTATTACCACTAATCTACCATCCTTTCATACTAGAAAATACCTTTTCCAATTCATTAATTATAGTTTTGATGGAGAAAGTCTGGCAGCATTTGGACCTTCATTTCCACATTTCTGGCACATTTACAGCATGATATTTTGTGGCCCTACAGACTGTCCTGAACAGAATGACTAACACGTTTACTCACCCTTACTACCTGCCAAAAGCATTCTAGTGGACATGTCTGTACATAGTGCTGTCAGAGGAACCAAAGGATATTTTGAAAATGGCAAAAGTTCTTTCACTAAGTTTCCCTAAAATAAACAAACACATATTTCTCTTTATAATATCTGCATGAAAAAAAAAAAAAAAGCAATGCATCAGAAGTTGAGTGCCATTGATTTGATCTATTCAGCATTACTCAGCTCATATCTATTCAGAAAGCTGCTAAAAAATTTGTTTCCTAATCTACTGAAAGCCCAAGGTAGCTGGAGTGTATTCTTCTGGATTGCTGTCTCTTCTACATCAAAAGAATAAGCTATTTCACTCTTCAGGCAATTCAGTCTAGCTATACCTGCCCCTGCTTCACCACTCACCTCTCATTTGCTGTAGAGTATCAACAGTATGCATCTCACTTGCTACTGAAATGTTGTTTCTTATTGCAAATGAGCCCATGATATCTCCTTCACCAACTTGTTACATTTTTCAGGAAAGTACCAGAAGACTTTCTCCCTTACTGCCTCTTCAGGTTTGGGAGGAGCTAAGGACTGGGAGGACTGTACTGCCGCCTGTCCCGCCACACCGCTCCTCTCCCGCCATCAGCCCTGCCGCTGCCCCCCCCGCTGCCGCCACCATGCCCATGTTCGCCATCCAGACCAACGTCTGCAAGGACGTTGCACCCGACAGCCTGCTGGGCAACCTCACCCAGCAGCTGGCCAAGGCCACTGGCAAGCCCAAGCAGTACATAGCTGTGCACATCATACCTGATCAGATGATGTCTTTCAGGGGCTCCACCGATCCCTGTGCACTCTGCAGCCTTGACAGCATGGGCAAAATAGGAGGGCAGCAGAACAAGACTTACACCAAGCTCCTGTGTGATCTGATCTCTAAGCACTTGCATGTATCTGCAAGATAGGGTGTACATCAACTACTTTGACGTGAATGCTGACAATGTGGGCTGGAATGGCTCCACCTTTGCAAGGAGCTCTCCCGTCTGAAGAGGCTGCTCCTGGACTACCTTCATCCTGCGCCTTAGCAGAGACCACTGCACAAATGGCCCTATGTTGCACTTTGTGCACTCTCACATTGATGGCTACTTGCTAGTGTGTTTAAATACTGCTGCTTCAACATTCCTCTGTTTTCTCTGTGTAGAAAACAAATAAAGATTTAGAAGTAAAAAAAAAAATTCTGGGGTTGTTTAGTCTGGAGAAAAGGAGGCTGAGGGGAGACCTGATTGCTCTTTATAACTACCTGAAAGGAAGTCGTAGCGAGGTGGAGGTTGGTCTCTTCTCCCCGGTAACTAGCGAGAAGACCAGAGGAAACGGTCTCAAGTTGCGCCAGGGGAGGTTCAGGTTGGATATTAGGAAGAACTTCTTCACTGTTAGAGTCATTAAGCATTGGAATGGGCTCCCCAGGGAGGTGGTGGAGTCACCATCCCTGGAGGTGTTCAAAAAAACGTTTAGATGTGGTGCTTCGAGACATGGTTTAGTGGGTTTAGTGGGCATGGTGGCATTGGCTATACAGTTGGAGTTGGTGATCTTTGAGGTCTCTTCCAACCATAATGATTCTATGATTTTAAGGGAGAATGTCTTGTTGATAAGGAGATTCTTGACTGTGTCATCCATGTAATGATGATGACAATCAAGCCAGTGATGACATCACCATCATCTGACCTTGGAGATTCCTACAGGAATCTAAGTACACTAATATATCAACTGTGAAGACAACAAAACCCAACAAAGCCCACGCCTACTGTACTTGGGGACATTTATCATCATACTCTATTTTTGCATAAAGCATCTGCAAAGCCACCTCACCATCTTTCTGCAAAATTCTCCCTATGACTTGCCTTTGCTGGGACTCCTGTTAAAGCCTTACCTGGCTGATGTATTGTGATCAGTATCTGCCACAATGACCAATATTACCCAATTAGATCATGGTACTCCCCTTTCTTGCATGTTTTCTGGAATAGAGACTTATAGATCTGAGGTGATAAGACAACTAAGCCATTGGCATGCTGTTCCATGACTGGCTTTACAAGCTGATTATAGCAGTAGACGCTATGTGTTAGAATACTATTCTCTCCTGATTTGTAACCCTGCTAGTGCTAGCTGGCTTGTGCAATATTCCAGACACATTTCTGCTCTTCTGAGAGTAGAACACTCTATCCATGTGTAGGACATACACTCTATGCCTTGCCTATCATCCTTTCTTAGAAGGTAAATGTTGTGAGTTGTGGGATATCTGGAAGACAGGGGAC